TTACTATTACTATTATTATATGGTTGTCACATTTTATTGTTGCATTTGGACCTGGATGGCCTCAATTTCATTTGCTTCGCCCTACTAACTTGCGCCATATTGGACTTAGGTGTGTTATACCACGTAGATGTACCTTCTTGATATTATTAGAAGAAAGAGCGCGTGCTCTTTGAGTTCAGCCTTTTTGTCTGTCCTCTTATTGAAAATATAAAAAAAGCCAATCAGCGAGCGAGCAATTTGCTGTTATTAATCGTTAAAAGTCTTTCTTCAAGTTTGATCGATAAAACTGCAAAGTTACATCATTCCAGCTACTATAAGTTCTACGTATTTTGGAGTAAGCCATGACTGTAAATAACCTGTGGGTGTAAAGTTATTTAGCGATTTGTACACCATTAAGGCCGGTTTAGACGGTACGATATTCTCCTACAACTATCGTATACAACACGCTTGAGCCATCCTACAACTCGAGTCGTAGCGTGTAAATCAAGCCTACAACTTGCCTACGACAGAGGCGAGCGTGTTGTACAGTCAATTCAAAAAATGTTGTCGTCGACCAGCTCAAGCCTACGCGACTGGACCGAAAGGAACTCTGGGTAGCAATCATTGAAGCCGAGTTGACTTCATAATTTTATCTGACTAGTTATGCCTGGTTTACAGCACGAACCTTCGTAGGCGAGCGGGAAGTGTCGAAGGAGACTTTTTTTAATACCTTCACATTTTCGAAATTGTGAACTGAATCATAACTACTTTGTTTTTCTTTCCCTAAACCCGGACACATGCATTTGATGGATTGTTCCTGGCCATTATTATCTTATTACTAGCGGGAACAATTAATTCAGAACGAATATTTAACCGCTTCAGTGATTTTTACCCATATTCCTTTCGGTCCAGTCGCGTAGGCTTGAGCCGGTCGACGACAACGTTTTTTGAATTGACTGTATGCGATAGTTGTAGGCGAAAATCGCACCGTCTAAACCGGCCTTTACAGATTTCTGCTTTTTCCTACATGTATTACTAAGATGTCTTATTCAAGAGTTTGGGGTAATTGTACTCTTATCATAGAAGAAACATGTTATTACTCTGAGAGTTCTATTAAAATCATCCGTCGTCGTTTAAATTTATCACCAAAATGAAAAAGTTACCGGTCACGCAATACTAATTCCAAAGCGAAGTGAAAACGTATAGTACTTAATATTTGATAGGTGAAATATCCGCTACAAGACATTATTATGTAAAATTGTTATACGACATCGATGCTGCTTTAGTTTATATTCTAACATTGGGTCAAACATTGGTAATTTTCCTTTCTTTCCACGAAAAAAAAAAAACCTTATGAAAAACGGTAGAATGTTGTTTACTAGTCTCACCTGTTAGCAGTGACAGCGTACGGTTCGTCTCTCTTTTCTACCAGGGTTAACAGCCAACCTGCCAGCATCCCATAAGCTACAAACCAACCTATTCGAGTTAAACACTTCTTGTATATAGGATTCATCTTTTAAATTCTTGAAAACACCCCAGTCTAATGATTCTTCGTTATCCGAAGTTGTTTGTTGAAAATATGAATATTCATTTTTACGTATTTTAGTATAAATGTTATTGATAACAATTATGGATGATGGACATATGGGTTTACCCATCATTGTTCGCTCCTCTTGAATAAATTAATAGCTCACAAACAAAATACCAGCTTGTCATCATCGATGCTGCATAATTACTTGATAACATTACCGAAATAATTTGACCCAGTATTTGACCAACATAACATTTAACTCACATTTGACCCAACACATTTACATTTGACGTGACATTTAGCCGTCGTTGTCAGCCCAAGGGCGTCAGGACAGACGGATTGGGTTTTAGATGTATGTTCGATTGTTTTTTTAAATCTAAAAGTAGAATTCAGTTTTTATTCTAGTGTTTTTTCTATATTACGATAGATTGCTGCAACCTTCCTTGTTATTCCTTTCCCATGGTGGTTGCACCTTTCACTTTTGTTTCTTTATATTTCATTATTTTACAAAAGACTGATGTAGCCCGTGGTCCATGCTTTTCGTCTGAATTTACTGGTTACATCATCCTTTTGTTTTTATGCCCAGTTTATATACTAGTTGTTTGGCTATTCATTCTTTACCAGCGATGAGATCCCATGATTTTTGATATACTTTTGATATGCTTGTATATATGTACAAAAGGGTCAGAATTTCTGCATATGGCTATATATATGACCTCGGTCTATGGAAAAAAATATCAGCGATGAGATCCCATATACTGAATTTTTGATATAAYTTTGATATACTTGTATATATGTACAAAAGGGTCAGAATTTCTGCATATGGCTATATATGACCTCGGGCTATGGAGACTGAACGTAAACATATTAGCTGTATTAATCGCAGTTAAGAATCGCTAAAATCTTCAGTTATCAGTTTATTGTTGTACGTTATGAATAATGATTACATATGCTAAAAATACGTTATCTATTACTTTTATGTGCATTCAAACCATGCAGGTGACTTATAATACTAGCAGCTATATAGGAAATAAAATTGGGTTGAACCTTCTAAGAAAATGTCAATTGGAAGTGTTATCATTTCTTGCTTTTCATGGATTCAAACACTAAATCTTCTGCAAGTAATTGAATTCAATTTTACATCATTACTTATTGCTGCCTCTACTTCATGGTTGTTCACAGAACTGCTGCATATAACACAAAAACTGACTTTAATTGATTCTGAATGCTCAACCAGCAAGTTTAACAAACATGAGACTAGACAGAGACCAATGATGTAAGGGACAGTAAATGTTGCACCAAATAGAATCAAGGCCCAAGCTGATTGGCCGGCTTTTTGATTTTTAAAGTTTTGGAATGGTACATAGTCACCCAAACCAATTGTCGTAAAGGTAATAAACCAACTGTATAGCCCTTCATGGAAGGTCCACCCATCCAGGTACATTTCCGCTGTTGCTAAGATACCAACCAAGACAATTATCCATGATATAATCATTGCAAAACATTTAAAGATGCTTTGTTTAGGACGTTTTTGGCGAAGTACCCTCTTGTCCAAAATCTTTGCCATGTTATGCATTAAAATGGCAAGAACTTCTCCTGCTGTCTTCAGAGCAACCATGCTTATTGGCAGACCGATAGTGCAGTATGGTATAGTGAGTACCTGACCAAGAATTGTTTGCGGAGTTATATTACCATAACCTACAAATGACAGACGTAATAAAAACCCATGTTTATAACGCATTACATGAAACTTCAAGCTCATGAAGGGGCTGTCGGATGGATGGAAGGATGTCATCGGATGCAAAGGGGGATAGTGTCATGGATGATTATTCTTTACGGCGCATCGCTAGCATGAATGGACGGTGACATAGACGCGGATGCTGCAGGTCATCAAATGTATAGACTTTTGGTGACATGCATGGATGGATAATGCAAGTAACAGACTAAAATAATATTAATTAATTACTTGCATGACGCAATTTTGAATTTGGATATGATAAAGTGACTCCAGTAATGCAAACCTTTTTGTTGAATGACATTTTTTAATCTCCCCCCCCCCCCCC